GCTCACCAAGTTTCGCCGGCATGGCCTTGATCGGAGTCGTTGCTTTGGCTGTGTATGATTCTGTTGTTGCTGTCATCACCGTTGCCTGTGGTGTTAGATATGTTGGAACTGCTGCTACAGTCGCTTCAGGTGGTGGTGCTGGTGGAAATGCTGTGCTCTCAGTGGGTGTTGGCAGCGATGGTTGAGCTGGTTCTGCTGATGGTGGTTCTGCCTTTGGTATTGGTGATGGTGGTGCAGGTGTTGGTGTTGGTCTTGGTGCTGGATGTGGTTCTGATGATGGTTGTCCTGTCTTTGGCAGTGGTGGTGGTGATGCAGGTGATGGGGTTGTTGATGGTGATCCTGGAGATGGTTGTCCAGTTCTTGTTGCACTCCTGGCTGGGGCTTCTGTTGATGATCTGGCAGGTGCTTCTGCTGGGGTTTCGGGGACATCTGCATACGGATTATCACTTGGGGCTACGCCAATGGGAACATCTGGGGTTTCTTGGTACTGACGATTCATGTGGCTATATAACCCATAGACCGTTGGGGGTAAACCACCACCTCTCCTGGGAATGCTCTGGAATGCGTCAGTCCTAAACACAAGATGTCCACTGGGAGCCCTCTCAAGTGGAATATGGATCGCGTCCGAACCCCAGCTAATGGTATAGCTACCCGTGGCTGTGAGGGTGAGCATTTCCCTGCCAGGTGCCATTTCCAGCACGGCGTTGTGATTGCTCATGCTCCTCAAGCCAAGTAGTGCTGGGAGGTCACGGCCCTCCCCTTCTACCATGGGGGTTTCGAAGTTGAATGATACAGATTCGCCCCTAACCAATGGACCATCACCTTCTTCCGGTTGAGATCGGGGGTGGATGATGTTGGGTATTGCTATTGGCAATGGGGCAACATGCGTACAGCTTTGAGTACCCTGTCCTACTCCCCTGACGGCCATTGGATTAGTCATTGACTTACGCGTTGACCTCAAGCCCGCATTCCGCGCGGCTGTGGCTTGGCGTTCAGCCCATTGCTGACCTGCTAGATTGGTCCATGCCCCGGGATCAACTACAATTGATTGGTGACCAGGCACTTGGGTGGATGAGTGGTAGGCTGATGCGGCTCCAGCGGCTTCTGGAGCATCTGGCCACCATGGAAAAGTGGGGGTCCCATATGGTGTCCTAAACTCATCATGTTGATCTGCTCTTGGAGATGTGGGTGCGATGTAGCGATAATGTGCAACTACATGTCCCCCACCACGGCAGCATGGGCATGTTGGATTTTCTTCCCTCAAAAGAACTTCAGTCCAACAGTTTTCATGGAAGGTATGTCTGCAGGTCAATCGCACCAGTTGTTCTCCTGCATTATATTCTTCCAAACAGATGCTGCAGCGGTGTTCATCCCCTAAGTATTCAACATTGGTGTGTTCGGCATGTGGAGTTACCATGGGTTCTGCATTATTCGAGGGCACAGCAGTGGGGGCCGGATTCACCTCACTCCTCGAACCTTCCGAGCCTCTGTTCCTCATCTCCTGCAAGGTCATCATCGTCCGGTGTTGATGATGAAGAGCACGTACCTGCGGATGGTTGAATGCTGGTTCACTGACCTGTCCGGATGTTCTAGAAGCTATTGGGACCTCACGCAGCTGGCTTGCCTGATGAAAGTCCCCCACAACTTGACTACGGATCGGGTCAAGAGTGCTGATAGCATTCTCCGAGACAATTGGATGATAGGTCGGTGCATGCACCTCCGCGGCAGTTCCCTGCAGGAAATTGAACTCGGGCATTGACGCCCATTCTGGTAATTCCGGTGCCGGATGCCGAAGGATCACCGTAGGGATCTCCCCTGGTCCCACGATCAGTGGGTGTTGCGACACTTCGTGCCGTTGGACCTGTGGTAATTGCATTGGTGGTGGTTGCATGTTTTGGGCAACATATGGTTCTTGAATAGTAGTCGATTCTGCAACAGGTTGCTGTGAAAATGGTTCATTGTTTACATTTCTGCCCTGTGGATTAGTGGGGTTATTCTGGGGAGGATTATTCATTGGATTAGTGGCTAGTGGGGTGTTATGGGTGAATTGGTTCATCAGTGGCGGTCCGAATGATCGTGGGTCCGTGGTCGGATGCATCAGGCCATTCAGGCCGTTGAAGACACTCTGCATATACAAGGATTGGTCGGCCATATCCACTGTCCGGGTCGTGCGCGGCAGTGGTGGCATAGGGTTCACAATCCCCCCAACGACCTGCCTCCCTGTCCTGCTCTCGTGGTACCGCCTCCAAGGATCACTGTTGGCCCACGGGTCCTGAGGTACAGCTGGCAACGTGGATGCATTTGATGGAGGTCCGCCAGAGACTGTTGACCAATGATCAGTTCCGGATTCCTGTCCAACATTGACATCTACTTCATTAACCATGAGGACCGTGGTTGATGTGATTACTCCTGGGGGAATTTGATCGGCGGTATCCAAGTCTACAAACAGGTTCTGCGAAGTGTCACCAGCGGCAGCCCGTCTGGGGCATTTGGCGACCAGATGTTCTTCCGAACCACATTCGTGGCATTTCATCCTACGTCCATCCGGGCCTCTTGGATTGCCCTTTCTGCCCTTACCCTTGCCACTCCCTGCCCCTTTCTTTCCACCTTTTGCCCTAAAGGCAGGGAAAATTTCCATGAGCTGGGATTCATTGAGTTCGGACAAGTAAGATGAAGTATTGATGATCTTGCCTTTGGATTTTCCATGCTTTGTCTTACCACCTTTTCCACCTTTATTGATGGCTCTCCGGGCAAACCTACGAGCTTTTCGGGTCGGCTTGCCCATGAATGACCTCCAACGTGCCTTGGCACGGGAATAGGCCCAGTAGAGTTCGGCAGCCTGTTCGTTGGCCGTGGCACCCTCAGCAGCTGGCCAGGCTTCATCTCCATAGTCACTGCTGGTATCGGTGTCGGTGCCGCTGTCACCCTGACCCTCTGACAAATACACGTATGGATCATATTGCTGTGTATAAGTGGGGTATGCCTCGGATGACTGCCATTGGGATTGCCAAGAACCATGGTCATGCCATGAACTACTGGGTTGGTCATACTGAGATGTGGGAACGTTTTCATTCCATGTGTGATCGTCCTGAATATGGTAACTATGTGTTGGATGTTGTCTACCCCGCAACATATTGGACATATTTCCTGGTGCATTTTCAATGATCCTACCCATGCGTCGAATGGCACCTTTCAACTCCGTGAACTGCTGCTCATCGGCAGGGAGAGCACCACCGAGTGGCTGCAATAGTTGGATCAATTGAGAATCCGAGACACCAACTGCACGGATCAGCAACCAAGAAAGACCAGCATAGCTCAGGGCGAGCCCACCTGTCTCTGCCGCACGCATGCGGGTAGTATCAAACCTAGTCAGCAACGTGTCGATCCGTTCATTGGATTCCCTTCCAAATGACAACAGATCTCCTACTGCCCCTAGCCGGACTTCCTCACCTAGCCTGGCAAATCGGGTGCTGAGTTGATACATCAGAAACGTTAGTGGATCGGTTTGGGTACCATTTACGGTCCCCCCTGTCAGAATGGTCTGAGGCGGAAGTGTCCTGCTGAACTCCCTAGCTGATCCCTGCAACTGAGAAATCACACTAGCCGCCTTCCGAGATGCATCCCCATCTGTAGCAATGCTCCAAATTAAGATGTCTCTAGACCAAGTGCTGAAACTATACTGATGCTCCATTTCGGGGCTCCATGCGGGGGGCAATCTTGGATGGCTACTCCTACCTGGCACCATGCAAGCGACTAATGCACACGTGCTGAGGCCGCCTCCAGCGGCTAGCATTAGTGTCGAGTCCGAGAGCGATCTACCATCACGGCGACCAGCGGTCATCGAACCCGAGTTGTCATGGGCTTCAGGAGACTTCACCTTCCGATTGCCTGCTCTGGATCCGGTCATGCAACGGTTCCTGGATCTAATGGCTGCATCTTTCCCATAGACCAGCTCACAGAGTTCCTTGTGACGGGACTTTAGATGTTTCAGCTTAGAGTCGTACATGTTTAGCATTCTTTCAAGTACTGATCTCTGCTGCCGTCTAAGCCGCCTACGCAAAAGCTCTGCCCTACGCTGATCTCGAGGGTTCATTTTGAACTTCCTCCTTGAGTGGTGTAGCCGCACCAGGGTCGAATTCAGCTCCTGCCTCCACTGATCCCCATTCACCAGACTGGGCTTGTACTCGCCTTCGGGCCTGGCCTGTACTGGGGCTTTGCGACCATTGCTCGCTGCATACCAGTGTGTAGTGACACTGATCGAGCCTGCCCCAACCGCACTGGACTGGATCACAAGAGCGCTGGTATTGCGACTCTTGATCACCAGCCCAGTACTGGCTGAGACAGACCCCACCAGTGCCACTACTAACACGGCACACAACTTCAGCACGGCGGTGAACATGATGACAATCAATGGAGTAAGGATGAAAAGAAAATGAAAACAGTCGAGTCGACCCTTAGGGTATAGCAGATACCTTAAATGGGGGTTACTGCCGGGGTTCCCGGCTCCGCTACCAACTCGAAAAAGAGAGGAACTAAAGTGACAAAGAAGTACTGTTTCCGCAAATGTCTGTTTTCCTCTGTCCGCTTGTGACGAAGTCTTGTGTTTACCTAGGTCGAGCTCTAGAGCCAGAACAGTTACATGGATAACAATGAACCTGAGGCATGGTAGATCATGTACCTTTCAAGTAACATAAATAATTGCCAATAATACCAAGTATGTTGTGTGCAAAAATCATGCTAAGTCTTTTTTGCCCCCACAACTTCTGCACCCCCAAGTCCGGACCTAGAGTGGATCAGAAACATAAATCCTGGGATGTAAATCTTCAGTTTCTTTCTATTTTAGGTACCACATCAATTAAAATTCACATCAAACACGTATCTTTTTCAATATTTCAACCTATAGTTCATGACCTTGGGCTGAATACTTGAATAGTTCGGCCACTTGGAAATAATATGAAATAATCACCAAATCCCAAGCATCTCCCCAACACAGTTGACGCCTCTGCCGCCGGCGGCTTGACATCCGGAGCTGCTGGCGCAGGCGCCGGTGTCGGCGCCGCAGGAGCAGCCGCTGCAGCAGCGGAAGCTGCTGGCGTCGGGGCAGGAGGCACCGCAGCCGCGCCAGCGGCCGGTGCCTGCATCCACCATTTTTTCTTTGAGGATACGGTTGCCTTGAGGAGTTGCAGTTGTTGATTATATCTTCATGTTGATCCTTTTGGAGGAGACGAATTACAAAATTCTAGTATGGGATGGTTTAGTCACCTGGCATAACCAAGTTTGCGCAACCTTCGGGGCATGAAAGGCCCATTCAATGGATTGCCTTGGGGCATCCTCAAGTTGGATGGTTCCAATGTCATCCAATGTCGACAGTTACTCAACAAGTGGACACGAATCTGCGGGTAAAATGGATTTCAAAACAGCAGTAGACTAACATATGATATGGGAAACTTATATGTTCATCTTTGTATCAATGCTGGATTTCCGCGTCAATCATCAATGCTAACCTTGACTTCTCCCCACCAAACCATCACGAAGCCTTGGCTTCTGCTTCGCTCTTGGATTCAGGGGACGCTTTAGCCTCCGCATCGGCCTTCTCATCCTGTGCAGCTGGGGGTTTCCGAAGGCAACGGATTCAGGGAAACGTCCTGTAGATCCTGTATAATATAAGCGCTGCATTAATGTAAGTCGTATCAATATATTAACCATGGTGACATACCAACAGCAGTCCTGCGGCGATTTGTTCTCTTCAGCCACCTTTGGCCTAAGAGTCACTGACCCTTTGGGACTTGCTGTGAAAGTGTGTTTGGTCTACTGAGTCTACTGGTATGTGAGTGAATATTGATAAAGAACAACGATATATAGCTCACGTGATGCACACAATCAAAATATTTATCCGCCGACCCCGGCCTTCGCCAAGGCCGGGGCGGCGCCTGGGACCACCGCAGGTATGGAACTTGTCCTGTCGGACCACTGCACATACGGAACTGGATAAAACCTTTCGTGGCCGCGCAATTCAAACCGTTCAAACCATCAAACCCTTCCAAACCCTCCAAACCTTTACCCTTAAACAGCTTCCCCAACAGGCACCCCAGGGCCAGGGCCACAGCAATGACTTTCTATGGGCTTTCAAAGCTGCCGTTTGCCAGCCCGCAAACGCTCCAAACCCCTCCAAAATTCCAAACACCTTCCCCAACAGGCACCCCAGGGCCAGCTCCAAACATTCCAAAACTTTCCAAACCCTCCAAACCCTCCAAACACCGTCCCCAGCAGGCACCCCAGGGCCAAGGCCACTTCCCGAACAGGCACCCCAGGGCCAAGGCCACAGCAATGGCTTTCTATGGGCTTTCAAAGCTGCCGTTTGCCAGCCCGCAAACGCTCCAAACCCTCCAAAACCCTCTAAACCCTCCAAACCCTCCAAAACCCTCCAAACCCTCCAAACACCCTCCAAAAACACCTTCCCCAGCAGGCACCCCAGGGCCAAGGCCACTTCCCCAACAGGCACCCCAGGGCCAAGGCCACAGCAATGGCTTTCTATGACTTTCAAAGCTGCCGTTTGCCCGCCCGCAAACGCTCCAAACCTTCCAAAACCTTCCAAACCCTCCAAACCCTCTAAAACCTTCCAAACCCTCCAAACACCGTCCCCAGCAGGCACCCCAGGGCCAAGGCCACTTCCCGAACAGGCACCCCAGGGCCAAGGCCACAGCAATGGCTTTCTATGGGCTTTCAAAGCTTCCGTTTGCCAGCCCGCAAACGCTCCAAACGCTCCAAAACCCTCCAAACCCTCCAAAACCCTCCAAACCCTCCAAACACCCTCCAAAACCCTCCAAACACTCCAAAACCGTCCAAACCCTCCAAACACCCTCCAAAACCCTCCAAACTATCCAAAACCCCCCAAACCCTCCAAACACCTTCCCCAACAGGCACCCCAGGGCCAAGGCCACTTCTCAATCAGGCACCCCAGGGCCAAGGCCACAGCAATGGCTTTCTATTGGCTTTCAAAGCTGCCGTTTGCCAGCCCGCAAACACTCCAAACGCTCCAAAACCTCCAAACGCTCCAAAACCCTCCAAACCCTCCAAACACCCTCCACACACCGTCCCCAGCAGTCCACCCCAGGGCCAAGGCCACTATCCCGAACAGGCCCCCCAGGGCCACACAGCAAATCCTCCAAACCGTCCAACCCGCCAAACACTTCCACAGCAGCACCCCAGGTGCCAAGGCCACTTCCCACAGCACCCCAGGTGCCAAGGCCACAGCAATGGCTTTCTATGGCTTTCAAAAAAGCTGCCGTTGGCCCGCCCGCAAATCGCTCCAAACTTCCAAAACCTTCCAACCCTCCCAAAACCCTCCAAAACCTTCTCAACCCGCCAAAAACCGTCCCCAGTTCCCCAAAGGACTAAAACATGGGGTTACAATGACAGTCCTAAAAACGGAGGGTCCTTGACACTCAAGGTATATATCAATCCATCCGTCTTTCTTCCTATGCCACTATCTATCTATCCAACAATCGATCTATCCATCTGTTTATCCAACTGTCTATCTACCTATCTGTCATCTATCTCTCTCTCTCTCTGTCCCTCTATCTATCCATCTGTCCAACAATCGATCTATCCACCTGTTTATCTAACTGTCTATCTACCTATCTATCAATCTATCTCTCTCTCTCTATCCCTCTATCTATCCATCGATCTATCTCTCTCTCCCTCTATCTATATATCTATCTATCTATCTATCTATCCATCCATCTATCCATCCATCCATCCATCCATCCATCTATCTATCTATCTATCTATCCTTCTACCCATCTATCTATCCAACTACCCATCTGTCTGTCTGTCAATCTCTCTATCTATTCACATGTCTACCTGTCTGTCTGTCTGTCTATCTATCTATCTATCCATCCATCCATCCATCCATCCATCCACCCATCCATCTATCTATCTATCCCTCTCTCTCCCTCTCCCTCTCCCTCTCCCTCTCCCTCTCTGTCTCTCTCTCTCTCTCTCTCTCTCCCCACAGTGCCCCCCAAATAGAGGGGGGTCGGCGGCACCTGGGCGCTAGCCCATTCTATAAAGGACAACGATATATAGCTCACGTGATGCACACAATCAATAGACACAAAGTGAGCCCGGATTCCTGGAACGTTTCGCCAAGACACACCATGTGAAGATACCAAGGTGGCACCACCAGAAACAGCAAAAACACGATCCACCTCGGCCGCAGGTTTACGCAGGTTGAACCATGATCTTCTTGGAGGTAACCCATAATTTTTTGAATGATTGAATGACATTAGCAAAAAAAATGTGAACAAACATCTGTTGAACTTCTGGAACACCTAAACGAGGTGTTCAATCCAGCCCTGGAAAATCAACCATTGCTCACTAACTTGTCAGAGGCACATAACTCCGCTCAAGGCTTTGGCAGTTGCATCTTCAATACCTTGTCGGGAGGCAGGACTCTGCAAAGGGTGATGGGATGGATAGATATGTTGAGATATGCTGGACTCACTTGAACTCAATTCATGGAAACCTCTACCATTATCTACCATTACATACTCTTCCTGTCCTTGTCATGGCGAAACCGAGCAAAAAACAGAAGTTGACATGGCTCACAGCTTTGCAAATCTGACTCAACATGACTAAACCCCGATTAATCCAAACAACTTCAATCCATGAATCCATGACTGTCCCGAGCAATGGATCTTGGGGATGCATCCCAGCAAGCCCAGCAAGTTCTGTGATCATCATATTGAAATAAAAAATCCTCAACTATTAATATGCAATTAATATGGAATGTGGAATATTAATTAATGGAATATTGTAAGCTATATGGAATGTCCTCAACTATTATGATTAATTAATGCCTTCTGTAATTAACTATCTGTTACTAAATATCACAATACACTATGTTTTTGTAGGATGACGATACATAAATTGCTTGTAAACAACTTACAAACTACCTATACCATCCTATACCTATCTACCTACCGAACTGTGATGCACATCCAAATCAGCTGCCTGCGCGCCTGAAGTGACGCCTGAGACACTCACGGCATAGAAGGCCATCTCCTGGCGAGAAAAAAAACATTGGAACTGGTTGAATGGGGAGGA